CAGCAGCGGCTTCGGCTCGTCGAGAAATTCGTCGATGAATAAACTGTAGGTGATACAGTGATCCCCCAAGTTTTGCAACACTTCAAGAATATACGTTTCTGAAGGAAATTAAAGAAACAAAGAACGAACAAGAATTCATTTTAAGAGACCATTGGATGCAGTTATTTCATTCAGTTCAGCAAACGATGAATGGACATCGAGTCGACGGACACAGAGTTTGCCACAGGCGCATCACGAGGTACGATTCCTGTGTGGGCCCAGCAGTTGCGAATTGTCGTTGGAGTAACCTTATTCCAGGCTTCGATCGACCACGTCATTGCCGTCAGAATGTCGACGGCATACAAGTTCTTCGGTTCGTGGTCCGGCGAAATGGTCGACTCAATTACATTGATCACATGATCTAATTGACATCGTTTGTAGTGGCGCTTGAACGAGTAGATAATTCCGGCGTCCATGGGCTGCAAAAACGCTGTGGTATTCGCCGGCAGCATCAAAAGGCGAACATTGGTAAGGCTCACATCCAGAGGGTCATGCGATGACGCGTTGTCTAGGATCAAGAGAGTATGTCGCCCTTCCGAGGCCATTCGAGAGTTGAAATTGCTAAGCCATTCCGAGAACAAAGCCATGGTCATCCATGCTTTGCGATTGGAATGGTAAAGCAATCCCAGTTCTCGACTGGACAATCCACCAAAGCAACGAGGCCGCTTCGCTTTTCCAACAAACATGGGTTCCAATTTGTCCGTGCCGTCCGCATTTGTTGCCAGAGCCACGGAAATTCGATTCTTGTCTTGCTTTGTTCCTGGCCTGGCGTGCTCAGCAATTGTGGTACGTGGCTGGCCATTGTAGAACAATCCCGTTTCGTCCATGTTGTAAACGTCCGCTGAACGGTATTCTTGTGTGATCCTTAGGATTGATTCGCGACCGTTTTCGACAACGATGTGGTCAACCGATGCCGCTTCGCCATGAAGGCGATGCATCCTGAAGTTGTGGCGTTTTTGTAAGCGGTCAAGCCATCCATGTGAGAAACGAATTTGGTCTTGAAGGTTCGAACGTCGAAAAGGCTCATCGACTTGAGAACATGGTTTATGGCCAGTAGTTCATTTTGACAGTGTGCTGTGAATGTGAATATTTCAACCTGAGATGTGAACTGTTTGTTTCGTTCA